GCCAATTCAGCTAAACCTCGAACAGTGCCCCTAAAGGACCGTATGCTAATTGGTGATTCGCCAACCGTTCGCCATGAAGTTCCGAAAGCTTTAACCTCCAACTTGCGCCGCAACTCTGAACGGCAAAGCCTCTCCATCCCACCAGAAACAAGAACCCGAAACCCAAGACCACCACCTGTCACTCCTAGAGACCCGCATGTTCCCATAAACACTTCACTTGTCTGCCATTGTCGCCATTGTGGAACTGGGTACGGGGAGCCCTTTATTTGCGGCCTTGCTGGCAGCCACCCTCTGGCTTCCCGGCTTCATCTGGGCCTGCAGGTACCAGGCATATAGCTTCTATCGGAGGTTCGTGGGCCTTGACGTCCTCTGTGTTTTACCATGTGTCTGCTGTGCGAGCTGTTGCTGTGGGATTGTGTGGCTTTGGGTGCCCTTGGGACTCCTGGCGGGCACCTTAGTGGTCAGCGGCTGGCAACTGTTGGGCCTGCTGCGGGTCCTTTGCAAGGATCTAAGGGCTTTATATAAGGACTATACGATGGTTATTTAAGGTAATGGGATTAAGGGTCCCTATTAGGGGTCCCTCCTAAAGTCCTTAGACAGGAGGACATCCCTTTCCCCTTCGACTTGGAGAAGCTGTACTTGTTCGAGCTGTACAAGCGCGACGTGCGGCTCTTCAGCGACCTCCCGCGATTGATCCTTGGTGTTCTTCTGGTTGGCTCTTAGGACTTTAACTTTTGGGTTTCTATATGAACTGTATTAAGGAGACGAAAAGTTTAACTTTTTGGAGGGGTGCAGAAGTCAGCCAAGGATCCTAAGCCCTAAACCCTAAACCCTAAACCCTAAAGCCTAAACCCTAAACCAGTATCAGATACCCGCCAAGGATCCTACTGGCCATGGTTTTCGCAAGGCAGACCGGGAGTCGGATCGAAAGCCTCGCCGGGCTGCTTGCTACAGGGCTGGCGGCATCGGTCTCGCTGCTGCGCCATCGACGAGCACTCTTCGCTGAAGCATTCAAGCACTTCGATCATGTGACGATGGAAGAGCTTGTCGACTGAGTTGCGGAAAGCAAGGGCCTGAAAGAGAGGGTCTCAGAAGAAGACTCCAAGCCCTAAGCCCAAAGTCAGCGGACAAAGTCGGGTCACCACCTTCCTTCACTGTGGCAACGGTCCATATCTGCTTTGACAATGTTCGGGCCGCCCTAGACACCAAATCTAGCCGCCCGTCGCAGGAAAAATAATAGTAACGACGGTGTGGTTTGACCGACACGGCCGTTGAAGTGTCTTGAGCTCCTTGTCCTTCCGGTCCTGAATGGGTTTTTTAATTTTGTCACAGACCATGTGGGGACACAAGTCTTACACGTCCTTGCCGGGCGAAGCCTCGACGAGAGTTTTGGCTGTCAAACCAATTCGGCCTGTCCTGTACAGTGGATGAGTGCAAGTCGAAGACCAAGTACAGTTGGTCATCGTCGAGTGCCCCTTTAAACTGTTCTGCCATAGTCCTCTGTGATTGCCATGTGGGAGGTTCAGAAAATTAGGGTACCTTATTTTGGGGTCCTTATAATAGGGATCCTATTATTTAGGGTACTATATTAGGGTCCCCTATTTTCGGAAACCCCCATGTCGAGTCTGGTTCGGTTTCTGTTGGCTGCTAGTAGCCTCTCATACAAGGATTTTTCTCTTTACTAGCTGGTTGTGCTGCTGTACATGAGTGACCACTTTTTTCTGAATTAGCGGTTAGGGATCACCTTCTTCTGAATGAACAGTTACGCAAATCGTCATGGATGTCAAAACGGCTGCATAAACAAATGCAGTCTCGTTGGCATGTGTGACTGTTCCCCAGATATGCGGCCTGGGAGATGCGTCCTCTTTTTTGTTGGTGTTGGTGTTGTCTTCGGATGCTGGGCGTGCCAAGCGGGTGACACACCATGATGACGATGACGGCAAATTCTTACTACCGCTAGAACAGCCACAACAACAGCGATATCAACAACAGCAACAACAGCAACAAGAACTGCAATACGACGACGACTATTCCTGCTACTGCTACTAATTCAACTGCTACTACTGCTGCTGCTACAGCGACGACTGTTTGGTTTCCGGCGATGGTCGCGGCGACGGCGACCATTGCTACCAACGAGTCACTCCTCTTCGGAGAACGCACGGATACCTGTATCCCTTGTTAAGTTGTGGATATGGGAGTTTCCGAAAATTAGGGGTACCGTATTTTGGGGTCCTTATAATAAGGATCCTACTATTTAGGGTACTATATTAGGGTCCCCTATTTTCGGAAACCCCCATATCTGTATCCCTTGTTGTGATGAGTAGCACGGTTTGGCGAATTGGCGAAGGACCTCACGGCCGCGGGCTCCTCGCCAACCGCATCCGCTTGATCGGCGGAGCATCTTGGATTTTGCGGCATGACGATTCGGCGTGTAGACTTGGCGTTCAGGCTTTACGGATTTCTTGTCCAGGGTCTAGATTCTAGCTGGAAAAGGCACGGTTGTTCAGGTGGTTGGGATTGAGTCGTTGTCACTTGCCACTTAGATGTTTCCGGTTACTCAGCAATGGTAGCCTGGTTACCTGGCTGTAAACGGCTTTGCGCTGCAAGCTGCTACTCACATGCGTGCAGCGTGGGTTTACTTGGCTTTCATGCACCCCAAACCCTAAACCCCAAACCCTCTTCGAATGTTTTAAATTTCTTACACATAGTGTGGGTGGCGCATGGCGGACGTAAAAAACCCTCTTCGCTACAGACCTTGCCAGGCTTGTGCGAGTGTGAGTGTCAAAGAAGCCTCTTCATCGGCGTTCGTGAAGTGGCCCTGCCATGAGATGCTACACCCTACCTAAACGGTTTAGGGTCTACCTTAAGAACCCAAAACCTACTTTGTTGTAGGGTCCATATATCTCCCATATTAGGGTTTATAATAAGAACCTACAAAAAAGTGGGTTTGGGGTTCTTAAGGTAGGGTTTAGGGTTTAGAATCAGTCCATCGCGTGGCAAACATCCAGGCCTCACAGTCTGTGCCTGACCCCTGACCCACCAAAGCCAAGCCCGTTCCCGGTCAGTGGCTTAGAGCTTGCTGCAAGGCTGCAAGGGTCTTACTGTAGTACGGCATTATGTGCAGAGGGTTTACAGGGTTTGGGATACCCGCAGACGAAGTCATCGAGGTTCTCCGGGCTGTAAGAGTGGAGCACACGAAACTAAGCCCCAAAGCCCTGAGCTTACCGGAAGCCCCAAACTGATCCTCTGAGCAAAACATCTGGTTGTTGAGGGTTTAGGGTTTAGGGTTTAGGGTTTAGGGGGTTTATGCTGGCATTTGTAAGAGCCCTGTTGCAAAATGAAGTCTCGAATGCAAGCTCCCCCCTGAGCCTTCAAAAAGGCGCTTAGAAGGCGTCGCCCCTCCGAAAGCCGAGCAGGGTTCCGTCTTGAACTCCAACTTCCTCACCCGGTTTAGGGTTTAAGGTTTAGGGTTTTGGGTTTTGGGTTTAGGGTTTAGGGTTTAGGGTTTAGGGCTTAGGGACAAAGCCCACGTCCGGTTCCGTCAGGTCCCAAAATGGTAACCCTAAGCCCGAAATCCTAATCCCAAAAGCCTAATCAAACCCGAAACCTTACAGCGAAAACCCTAAACCCTAAACCCCGAAACCCTAAGCCCTAAACCCTCAACCCCGAAACCCTAAGACCTAAACCTTACACCGAAAGCCTTCTACCCCTAAACCCCGAAACCCTAAGCCCTAAACCTTACACCGAAAACCCTAAGCCCTAAACCCGTCAGGTCCGCTTCGGCAAGGAGGTCGCCAAGCCGGTGGACTGCAGTGCCACGGGGACGCAATATGGGTGGCCTTAGGCTTTCATCAGAGGTTTCCAGGGTTTAGGGTTTAGAGTGTAGGGTTTAGGGGTCAGGGTTTAGGGTTTAGGGTTTAGGGTGCAGGGATACGTGAAACAGTGGTTCAAGGTTCAGTATAGAGGCCTGAACAAGAAGAGTAGGGTTTGATAGCTTCCGGCTTTGGAAATCCTGGGCCCTGGACCCCATGTCCTGGCCCTTAAAGCCCAGAGTGTCGCAACTCTTTATGCTCAACCCCGCGTTCCGTCAGGGGTCGAGAGCCTTCTTGGGGAAGTCTCGTTCCTGTTATGTAGCTCTAAAATGCAAAAGTATTTCCGGATGATCATCAATCACCCCTTCCGTCACAATGAATCAGGGGGTCGAAGGCAGAGGTAGCCTGAACTATCGCCTAGGCTTCTCTAGTAGAGTTAGCGCAGCAACCTCCCCCCAAGAAAGCTTAGTACAGGAACATGCGGCCTTACTATTCCTCAGGGTACCTTATATCAGTTCCGGTAGAATATAACGAAAGATTCAGCTAAATATTCAAGCACCCACTTTTGAACTATTTCCAGGCCTTAAGCCCGAAACCCTATTTCTGTTGGTCCCGGCCCCTTTATTTCATGTCTCTGTGATCTACAGAAAAGCTGCCAGCGGGTTCTGAGGGGCTCACCGCGATCAGCTGTTTGATGCTTGGGGCCTATAGGGTTTGGGCCTAGAGCTTGTTTGGGAGTTTCGGGTCTGGGGTTTACGGTTTAGAGGTTAGGGTGGTTCAGCTTTTCCTGTGCGCTCTTGCCTTAAGAGGGGGTGAGGGTTGCGTAGGCGCTGGCCGGCACCTCAGTCCGTGCTGGAAAAAGGCTTGTTGTTAGATGAGGTTGTCGGCTTTTGCAGTGCATCGAAGTATGTTGAAACCCCTAAACCCTAAACCCCCGAACCCTATTCTGATTCTTAAGGCCCCTAAACCCTAGACCCTTATAGTAGCCCTTAAGTAGGGGCCATGTCTCTTCAGCGTCGTCATGTCGATGAGGCAGGCCATCAGCTTGATAACTGCGATGGCAGTGCATCAGTCTTCGGTTGAACCCGTGGGCCCCTAACATGGGCCCTTAGGGGATTCTAGGGTCCCTTAAGGGTATATATAGGGTATATAGTAGGTATATTAGGGTCCCAGGGTTAAGGGCCCATACTAGGGGCCCATGGGTTCTACCTTAGAATCAGTCG